ACGGGGTTTTGGTTGGCCCCTATTTTCAACCATTATAATTGGCATCGACTAGCTTTGCACGATAGGGATCTTTAGGAGAACACGTCCTTTTGGGTTAAACGTTAGTAGACTAATATTTATACTAGTGTGGACCTTGATTCGTGGGGGGACTTTGGGAGGTCAGTACCTCCCAAAAAATTTATTAGAATAAATATACTTTTTAAAATAATTGGGATAGAAATATATGTGCTAAAAAAAATCATAAAAGTCTTTTTACCCCTACTATAAATAGTGTATATCTAATTGAATGTGAGACTTTTAAGATTAGAATATGATACTTTCAAAAAAAATTTTAATATTTGTGTATCATTTGAATTTTGAAATTTCATATATATATATATATATATACACACACGCGCGCGCGTAATATAGTGATATCAAACAGTGACACGCTTAACAAAAAAATAATAATATCAAACAGTGACACGCTCAACAAAAAAATAGTAATATCAAACAGTAACACATTCAATAAGAAAATAATAATATAAAACAGTAATACAACTATTTTTGTTGAGCGTGTCACTGTTTGATGTCACTGTATTACGTGTGTGTGTGTGTGTGTGTATATATATATATAATATAATTTCAAAATTCAATTGATACACAAATATAAAAGGAATCTTGAAAGTCTTACATTCTAATTTTGAAAGTCTCACATTCAAGTAGGTATGCACTATTTATGGTAGGAGCAATTATAGAATACATGTTAAAAAGAATTTAAAAATATGTACTTATTGACAACTATTTAATGAAAAAGAGGACTTAAAGGAGGGTAAGTTTGAAGATGATCTTTAAAGTCAAATAAGTTTTAAAAAAAATATTCATATCTCATTATCTCTTTAACAGTCACTACAGTAAAAGACTCTAATTGGCCCATTAAAATCCAATGTAGCAGCCCAATATAAAAATATGACAAAGACCCTTTGAAAACCAAATAAATTCTAAAATCAAAATTGAATAATAAATAAATAAAAATAATTTAGAAGATTTCAAAACCTTTTAATTTCTACCAACACAAAGTGACAACATTTTTTAGAGTACCTACAGTTGACTTATCATAATATTAATCTTTAGTTTGGTACGATAAAAAAGTTTGAATGATGAAAAGTTAGAAAGTTAGATAAAATATCATGTTTGGTAAGAAATAAAAATAAGAATGATAAAAAAGTGAATGAATTTAATTTTCCGTTCAACTCACTAAAATTAATTTTTTTAAAATTAAAAGAAAAAATAAATAAAAAGTTAATTATGTGTGCTAAAATATATGCTATTTATTTATATATCATTGATATATACATACATATATCTTATTTATCAAGTATATATTAATTTATATATAGATATAATGATAAAATATATATTATACGTTTTTTATTATTCCATTTTTTCATCCTACCAAATATAACAAAAATTATTTTTTTCTACTTTTTATCCAGTTTATCAAATACAAAATAGAGAAAGAACGATTACTCCCTTAAAAGATAGAAAGTATATCAATTCTATTTTTTATCTTCTATTTTTTCATCCACCCCTACCAAACATACCATAATTGTTGATATGTTGGTGGCAGAAAGGCACAAAAAAATTTAGGCAAGAGAGATTATGATGGTAAGGTTTATGTGTGTTCTCTAATTATGAGTTTGAGTCTTCTTTAACTAACTTATTTTGTAAATTAAAAATAGACTTGACACAATACTATTAATATAAGTTTTTAGTATGACTGAAGTCCAAAAAAAAAAAAAAAGAAATTAGTCAACACAATACAGACCCCATCTTGATACAATTCGTTAAATAAGAATTAATAAATAAATTAGGTATAGATGAAATATTTTTTGATATAAACTCATCTCATTTGACATGATTGACAAGTATAGGTAACACCCTCGAAAGTTGGGATTTGATAATGCTGCTAATGATAAGGGTGTCAAACATGTCGGATTGGATCATTTTCGTGTCACGTTAATTTTAAGTTTGTGTTGAAAATCCTAAAATACGAATATGACCTGTTTAATAATCGTATTAAAATGTGCAAACACTAACCTGACCTAACTATTAAACGAGTTATCCAAACCCGACCTGTTCGACACACTATTTTTTTTACCAATAGACTTTTGGTCTAATGGTACTCATTGTCTTGTAAATAATTTGCTTATTGAGATTAAATGTTCAAGTCTCCCTCCCCTTTTCTCTGTTTGACAAATTGAATAAATAGGTCATTTTCAGATTAACACACATAATATGACCTGTTTAACCTATTTTCATACTTGTTCATTATCATTAAATACATAATTCAAGCATTCATCCAAAAATTCAAATAAGTTTTTCACCAATAACATATCACATCTCATCAATGAAATTAAATAAAATGCATTCAAGTTTCAATCTAAAAATTAAAGCAAGGACTATATTAATATATTGTCATAATAATGTTAAAAACTATACTATCAATTACCATAGCAAAAATAAGAATTAATAAGTAATAATGTTAATACTGCATTAATCATATATAATAGACAAATTATACTACATAAACGGGTTAAACAGGTCTACAATTAATTAGGTCGGGTTTGTATCCGAATTATGTTAACCCGTTTAAAATATAAGGGTTTATTAGGTTAACTTGATTTTGATATAAACTCGACATAATTTTTTTCGTATTTAAGCGTATTCACTTGTTTTTATGCATGAACTTTTTTAATTTCATATCCGACCAAATAATTTCAAATTTAGTTCGTATTGTGTTAATGTGTCATGTCAAAAATTGAGCGCCTTAGCTAATGCCACTAATTGCAGAGGTTCCAAAATGTTGTAAAATGCAGCAGTTGATATTTGAGTCTGGAGAAGAAAAAAGAAATTTGGATTTTCAAATATGAAACAAAACCCAGATTGATAAAGATCAATTGTTAGAGGGTCACTGGGTTGGGTCGGATCTTAACCAAAAGGCTGACAGCCTGTTAGTCGAATAAATATTTAATTTAACAATGATACCACATCATTATTATTATTACGTGGTGTCACTATTTAATTAAAAGATGAAAAATAAAAAAAAAGAGAATTTATTATTTTAATAATTACTAATAATCACTGAATTTATTATTTTAATAATTACTAATAATCACTGTGTTCAATCAATAATATATAAGATTTATTTTAAAATTTTTAATTAAAAAATAATATTATATAGCGATGATAACATAGTAGTACAGTTGGAATGAAAAGTTTTCCCTCTTAGTCTACCCTACTAGTCGTCCCCCAATCAAGTCATTCTTCTTTGAGACCTCATGCGGTGGACACAATACTTTTTGAAACTTTGACCAACAAAACCAACAATAAGTTTTTTTTGTAATTTTTTTTATTTTGTCCGAAGCAAAGCAACAATAATTAAATAAATAAAAAATTGGAACAGGGATGCAAATTCCCTCTTTCCAGGCTCACTGTCGCATGCAGTCTTACCAATCTCTCCCTCTGTCTGTCTAATACAATGTCAGCATTAACAACATCGTATTATCGACTAATAATCAACGAGTAATACCATATAATTTAAATAAAATTTAAAAAATTATAATTTAAATGCATATTATTTTTTAAATGAATGAGCCATATCAATTTTTTTTAATAGGACTCACTCATGTAACACTCATTTAAGAAATGATATACGTTTAAATTATAATTTTTTAGTTTAATTTGAATTAGCATTTTCCTAATAAATTATAAATAACTAAAATGAACTTTATTTAAATAATTATTGGTTTCTTTGAAAGAACAATGAGTAATTATCTATTTATATGGATGAATAATTATTATTTTTGTGGGAACTAATTCTTTATTTATCTATTTGATTGTTGATATTACTTGATAATATTGATGTGTATCACCCTTTAAAGAATTTTTTTTTCCCCTCAGTGTCTCGTCTCTCTCTATGTTTCCAACTTTATGGGTTCTTTGTCTGTTACAAAAGGTAAAAATGGGAACCTATGCTCTTACTATTGCTAGTTCAACCTGTCCCCAGTTTTACATTACCCCATCTCATTACATTATTATTCTCTCTTCTGTTCTTGCACTCTAGACAGAGGTAATTAATTGCTTTAGCTTTCACCTTCCCCACTAAAATTACTCTTTGTTTCTCTCTAAAAGTATGATTGAATAGTTGTATGTTCCCTTTGTTGTGATTCTTTTTTTTGGGTTTATTCCAATCTAAAATAAACAGTCTTGCCCTTTGCTTGGATGGTGGGGTTTTGTTGTTTACTTTTATTTGCGAAGATTCTGTGATACTTTCCAATGTCCTTATCAGATTCCCTAAACCCTCCTCAAATTTCTTACTAATTGTATATTTTTTAACCATTTTTGCGCCACCCCACATGCGTGTTCTTGGGTATGACTGATCTGGATTGGATCACAAGGATATATCTTTATTCTTTTTCTATTGACAGAGGAGGTGAGAGAGGCAGAGAGAGGTGGTGGGGTCGAGTAGCCGAATCCTTTTCGGCATCAATGTTGGGTCTCCTCTGAGGGGTCTCAGGAGTTGAAGAAGGTGAGAGAATTCTGGCCCTTTTGGATGGTTTTGTGTTTTCTTTTAATCCCTTTTAGCTTTTCTGCTTTTTTTTGGTAATGGCTCTAACTCTCTGGTTTGTGTTTTCTCGCATCTTTGTGTGTAATTTGAACTCGGTAATATTCATTTTTTGGGAAGATTGTGCGAATTTCTAAATTTGGTGACTACGTTTTGAACTGGGTCAGATTTATTTTGTGAATCCAGTGGTTGGGGGAATAAATTGGTGCTGGGTGTTGTGCTGCTTGTGGGTATTTGAATTTGTGGCAGTGGTAGTGGTCAGCCATCATATAATATTGATCTGAAGGGGTTTTTTATTAATTTTCTTCCGTTTGTGGTCGTTTTGGATGACTGAATTGCATATAGATTGTATAAACTAGTTTAGGTTGGTCTTTGGATAATCCTGTCCTGAGGCATGGCGAGTATTGATGCTTCGAAATATGCCCATAGTCCTGTTCACAAGGCTGTAGTCATCAAAGATTATGCTGGTCTCAGGAGGATACTTGGTGGCCTTCCACGGCTTCGTGACCCTGCTGAGATTCAAACTGAATCGGTTTCACTAGCCGAGGAATCCAAGGCTGAGAGTATTTCGGTCATGATTGATCGGCGCGATGTCCCCAACCGTGAGACTCCTCTCCACTTGGCTGTTAGACTTGGTGACGAGACTGCTACCGAGATGCTTATGCTTGCTGGTGCAGATTGGAGCTTGCAAAATGAATATGGATGGAGTGCACTTCAGGAAGCAATATGTAATCGGGAGGAAGGGATTGCAAGGATCATAGTTAGGCATTACCAGCCACTGGCGTGGGCAAAATGGTGTAGAAGGTTGCCACGGTTGATTGGGACAATGAGAAGGATGAGGGATTTCTACATGGAAATCACATTTCACTTTGAGAGCTCTGTCATCCCTTTTATTTCGAGGATTGCACCTTCTGATACTTATAAAATCTGGAAGAGGGGTGCAAATTTGAGGGCTGATATGACTTTGGCTGGTTTTGATGGTTTTAGAATTCAGCGTTCTGATCAGAGTGTTCTTTTTCTTGGTGATGGTTCCGAGGACGGGAAGGTCCCTGCGGGGTCCCTTTGCATGATCTCCCACAAAGATAAGGAAGTGATGAACGCATTGGATGGCGCTGGTGCTCCAGCAACTGAAGCGGAAGTCCAGCAAGAAGTGGCTGCCATGTCTCAAACCAGTATATTCCGGCCTGGCATTGATGTGACTCAGGCAGTTCTTTTGCCTCAGTTGACATGGAGACGGCAGGAGAAAACGGAAATGGTCGGGCCATGGAAGGCTAAGGTGTATGATATGCACAATGTGGTTGTGAGCATCAAATCCAGAAGGGTTCCAGGGGCTATGACAGATGATGAGCTCTTCTCATCTTCCAATGAGAATGAAACAGAGAGTGAGGACCTTAATGATCTTCTGACTGAGGAAGAAAGAAGGCAACTTGAAACTGCACTTAAGTTGGATTCATCAAATTTGAGCAATGAGAATGGTGATGAGATTGTTGGACACCGGCATAGTTCTTACGAGCAAAGGGAGATTCCCATCGAAGATGTAAATGGTTATGGAAATGGAGAAACTAAGCAGGAAAAGAAAGGATGGCTTGGTGGGTGGAGGAAACGAGATACTAAACATGATGGGCAGAATAGGGTTGCCCTTCCAAGAAGTTCCCTTTGTGTAGACGAGAAGGTAAGTGATCTGCTTGGGGATTCACCATCTAGAAGTCAGAACAAACCAGCAAGGCATTCCATGGAGATTGCTGTGAAGAGGGATGAGCATCCAAGAGGAAGAGATACAAAACTGTCTTCATCAGCAACCTCTGATAGTGGAAACCGCCACAAGGATGCCAGCCGTGAGAGTGAATACAAGAAAGGCTTAAGGCCTACTCTCTGGCTTTCCCCAAATTTTCCATTACGAACTGAAGAGCTCCTGCCATTGCTTGACATTCTAGCGAACAAAGTTAAGGCTATACGACGATTAAGAGAACTGCTCACGACAAAACTTCCAATGGGTACCTTTCCGGTCAAGGTATGCTGCACATAGTTATTCTAGTTGAAAATAACTCTAATGCGAGTTTAAGTTTCAATCTGCTCTTACTTTGATTGGATGCTACTTTTCTTTTCTTTTAGTTTATACATTTTATCATTATTAGTAGGGATTAAGTAGGAAGGGTAGGGTGTAGGTGGTACCCATTGGAGGAGTGGTAATGATAAATTTAACTTAAATATTGGAAAATAGAATCGTGTATGCTTAACTAGGAGACTTTTGTTGGTTGGCCAGTGCTATGTGCTGGCATCAACCAGCTCCTATAAGGCGTGGTTGCTTCTTAGGGGTTGGTGTTTCTGCCGTATAATTAAAATGCTATGGGATGTGAGGAGTGTTGGAAGCAGAGACATGATCATGTGATGCCAGTTTCCAAGATAGCCTCAAAAACATGGTTGTCATCCAAAATTAGGCATAACAGGGAGTTTCCTTTATTTGGCTTCTTGTAGGTGTAGGTGAATCCTCCTCTAGTATGCGTGCAGCACGCCACATCAAAGAAAGAAGTACTTTGCATGAAGAAAAACATAGGCAAAATCTTTGGTTTGCTTAGTGCCATTAGGATCTAATTGATCTCTTCTATTCCAAATTCAACACTGTAAGAGTTGTGGGTTTTCGGGGCTGCTATGACAGCCTGCTATATTAGACCAGACATTTCCTGCTTTTTGCAGATGCATTCAACAAAAACCATATGGCTAAGAGCCGAAGACATTTCCAAAAGACGAGGAACTATGAGTAAGTATTTTTTTACCCCTGTTAATGATTTAGGTCCAAGACATTGGACATTCACACTCAGTGACTCATATAGGAGTGAGCTGAGTTATGTGTAATTCCTGACTTATGTAGTTCTGTTATTGACAATTTTCACTCATTTTGTGCTTCTAAAAAGATCATACTAATTTTGTTGAACATCGTGTGCAGAAGTGCGACAGTCTAGGAGGTAAAATGTCGTTACCTATATACATGAGTGTAATAACCAATGATACACAAATAAAAGTAAAACTAACACTAGAGCACACTCCTACGGTTCGAATTTTGATCTTCTGTAATCTACAGATGTTTGAATTTAGAATTATGGAATAGTCAAAGTTTATCGTGGTATGTGCCTTTACAATGTATATAGTAAAAGCTTTGTGATTGATAAGGGTGTTTGGTCTATGTCCTGCACATGTAGTCTTGGCTTTTTGTTTTATTTTTTCTATTGATAAGTTTTACCTGTAAGTAGTCAAGAAATAAAGTAAAGGCAGCCAATCATTAATGAAAAAGGACAGGAGAGAAAATTAATAATTAAGAGGAATTATGTCTGTTTTTTTCAATGTGTAATACTTCCGTGTAGAACCAAGGTTGTCAAAACGGGTATCACAGCGCTTTTTTGTTTTTATAAAAAATGTATTGTGGATCATAAGGTATAGTGTATCTTCCTCTATTTTAAATAATATATTTACAAATACAGATACCTACAGATATATGAATAGGTAGTGTCCAAAGTTAAAGAAGTCTTGTGAAACGATGCCATTCCACCGTATATACTCAAAAAGTAATAAAAAAAAAGGGTCCTGTGTGTATGATTTTTTCACTGTAATGAAACGTATCGAATGATACATAGTGTCTATCATACGAGACAAACAATATTGCATATGACTACTTTCCCAATATTCCTTCTCACATTAATTGGGGTGCACCCTCTGAGTTTTGAGCATGTGAATACTATGCTACTAATGACCAAAAAAAAACTATGCAACTAATATTGTGGTTTAGTATTTGCAGCCATAGTTATTAGTATCATATAATACGTTACGATACACCTGAAAAACGATACGAATCGTGTCTCTGTATCGTTTTTGCACCGTATCGTCTAATACATACAATATGTGAAGATTCTATTTTTTTTTAAAAAAAATTGGGCCTGAAACGACGTCATTTTAACCCAGGACTTATTTTTTAACCCCTAGCCGTGAAACAACTTTGTTTCAGTGCCTAAGGTTTAAAAAATAATAAAGTCTGTTGTTAATGTTGTTTAATTGAATCAAAATTGCTAATTAATGTTAATATTGTTCAAGCAGTTGACGTTAGAAGGTTAAATTAGAAGTCTTTGCATTTTGATATTATTGAACTATGTTTGGAACTTAAATAGTTGGTGGAATATTAATGAAATGTTATGTTATATTGAGTGTGACTTTTTTTCCAAAGGTATAAATATATTTTTTTAATAATTATTTAAAATTATGTGTATCTTATGATACACAATTTTTGAAAAACGATACGCCTTCAAATATGCGATTTGACAACTATGTTTGTAGCAATTCGGTTATTTTTGGTTCATAATCTGACCATTTTTGTAGCGACTTAGACTTTAATGTGGACTATAGTATCTTGAAAAATGACTTTGTAGTGTATTTTAGCCAATTGGTATCACTTTGGAGGTGTGTTAATTTGTCGTCATTATTTCTGCTGTTGTTATGAATAAGCAAGTGTAAATTAAAGTGCCACTGTAGTGCAATCCATCTGTTTGTTGATACAAGAAGAATAAGAAAAATAGGTGGATTTTACTTTTTGTGTCAACTTATCTTTGACTACCATGAGGTCAATTTCACCAGGATTTCACTATAATGGATGTTTAGTAAAAATAGGATGGCTTAAATTTAAGAAGACATAGGTTGGCTTGTTTTCATTTTCCCCAACATTTAGAAAAGAAAAATAACTCTGGAATTTCAGGATTGATCTTGAGTTTTGCAATCATATCAATTGAATTCTACTGGGCATCTGGAAGTTGAGAAGGAAACTACTGATTTTCTGGTCTGTAGTTGGTTTTTTGTTGCAATGCAAGTTTATGAAGTTAAACATAGGATTTTTGTTGGACCAGAATGGAATAAATAAAATATATGTCTAAACAAGTAGGGCCCCATAGCTTATGGGAACCTACTGCTGGGGATCACCAATGGATTGGGTAGACCACGGATTGAGGACTATACTTTTAGGCCACTGTTTGGGTTAATTTTTGTTCGTTAATATTAAGACTTATTGATTATGCTCTTTGATGTAAAATGTTAACTTTGGGTCCTTTTGGAACTGCCCATAGGTATGCTTCGCTGTGATGAATGATATAGGTTTTGGTATTTACAGATATTGTTGTGATAGTGTTCTCCAACTTTCTCTCTTTCTCTCTCTCTGCTTGTCCCTTTCTCCTCCCCTTCAATTCCCTTTCTTTTTCTCTCTTATGTTTCTTTGTTCTATTTTTTCCTTCTTTCTTCTCTTCTTTGCCTCTTCCTTTGTTTTTGGTTTCTTTTCTGCCTACATCTGCTATTTTTATTAACATCTCAATGATATGTCTTTCAAAATTTTAAGCATAGTGTGTTGGAGTTGCATGAAAAATTTTCCATGTGTGATAGTTAGATGATTTTCATGCAAAGGTATATGACCATATAAATACACAATCAATGTTTTCTAGATGTTTTTATTCTGGACAGCTAGTTTGCGACATTTAATATTCTATAATCTATATGTATTTAATTTAATTTTATATATAAGTAGTATGACAGCTTTTTTAGCACCCGGGTGTCAAGGTCTCGGGTTGTGGAGCATCATGGGCTACCCCTTTTTAGAATAACCCAAATACAAAACTTGATCCAAATAAGACATGCTGCAATTACAACCAGTTTTCAAGAATTATTGAAATGACCTGAATACGCAGACTCAGATAATTTGAACATGAATAAAATTATTCAAACAACTTTTTGACCTAAATTGACATGAATAAATTAAACAAAAATTTCAGTGGTGAAGACCGACAGCATCATGAAATCCTGAATGTGCCCTACGTGTTGTTTCCATGCTATTCAGCAGTGAATATGTTAAATTGTTTGATGTACAGTGGTTATGTTATATTAAAGTGAGTGCATTGTCAGATTCAGTGGATAAGTGTTAGAGACTTAAATTCCCTTGTAATTAGCTTTGACGACAGAAATTTTATCATTACCGTTTTTAGTCAATTTGAGGGCACTGTAGGATCAAGTGGATGAATGGCATGTTCATATTTATGGCATACAGGCATTATTCGTGGTGGCATTTGCCGAGACAGAGGAGACATTGTAGCATGCTTTTAAAAATACGCCATTACTACGTAATGGACTCGCTACGGGCGCAATCTAGTTTTTGACTGTTTCAACTGTCCGAAATAATTTCACAATTGGAAAGACCATTGTAGTGCCATAAAAATGTGTTGGCGGCGTGTAAATGCCCTATAAAAAGCCATTAACAGCCACGGATTTTTACTGTAGAAGGTGCATATTTTTGTTGTTTTCAATTCTCTTCGACAGAAAGTTTTACCTTGTACACCGAAATGATGTGCTGACTCCTAATTTGACTTGGTCTACTTCTAGATCTTCCACGCCTGAACTAGATTTGGTTACTATTACTTGGAGGAGACTTTAGTTGGATTTATGGTAAATGCCCCCAATATGTGAATCTTTGTGATTGTGAGATGCGATCCATTATGGGAAAATAATGCTTTTCAAGCAGAAGGATGGAATAGATCTCCTCTATTGCCATACACATGCTTGCAACATGTGCTTCTTATTGTGTTTAAGAGTTGAGGAGATGTTGGGGATGGCAAGATAACACAGAAAGGATGCTCAAGCAGTAAGAGTAGCTTCATTCTAAATAAATTCTTTAGATAGAAAAGTCTCAGGCAGATCAAGTGGTGGCTTCCGTGACGGTTTTAGTTTTTTTAGGGTGATAAAAGTAGTGGGTTGAATGTAAAGTACTATGCTTCCAAGTAAAAAACCAAAGGGTGAGTGGCACATCCATTTAGGTTACCTTGTGTTAAACATGTATGTCGACTTTGTATTTGTATATAGCTCCACATGAAAAGTTCAAATTGAATCCTGAATGCTTCATTGGTAATCAAGCCGAGAGCTTCTTCATGACAAACTGAAGGGAACAATGATAGCAAAGGCAATTGGTAACTTAACAAGTCCAAGCAATGAATACCTCTAGTTTATATGTGTTGATTTTAAATATAGTTATACCATTGTTTGCCATCCTGAAGATTCATCAGTATCCTTGAAGTACGGTTTTTTGTTGATGCTCATTTTTTTGGTTATTTTTTAATTAATGGAATTGTTGGTTTTAGTTGTTAAAATTCCATCCCTTCCACGTTCTTTGTTCTGTTGGGTGTTAAGTCAAATGGTCGAAGCATTCTTTTTTTTCTAGTAGCCTTACATACACGTTAACGGAACAGTATTTCCAGTGTCAAACTGATAAAATAAACCTAGAATCTGCTCTGTTCTGCAGAATAAGACCTATCTTGTTGCATGCTAATGCCATGAGATAAAAATTCTCATAGCCAAGTTTCCAAGTCTGTTGCTCACGCGTCCATTCCTTCTTCCTCCTCAAGCAGGTTCATTTGTGATAGGAAGCAGCATCATTTGTGCACTCATATGTTTGATGCAGTTTTGTCGTACCTTTTTATCCTTTCCTAATTTCTGTATGATTTCAGGTTGCTATTCCAGTGGTTCCCACTATCAGAGTTTTGGTCACGTTTACAAAGTTCGAAGAACTAGAGCCGTTGGATGAGTTCTCAACGCCTCCTTCAAGTCCTACTGCTACAGGCAGAGAAAGCCCAGCACTGATGCAGGCCTCAAGTTCATCTTGGTTTCAGTGGATAAAAACTCCCTACAACCGCCCAGACACTTCTGCAGGTAGTTCAAGCAGTAGGATAGAAAATATTCAAGACCCATTTGGAATTCCTCCAGATTACACGTGGATTACAGCCGAGGCAAAGAAAAAGAAAATGCAGGAGAAGAGCAAATCAAAGAAAGGAAAAAGTCGTGTCCAGTGACCTGAGATGAGACTAGGATCCATGTCTACGAAGAGGATTTACCTTGCTAAAGGGGCTTGACATGTACCAAGTGAGTTGATTGTTTTATTGATCTACTAATCTACGATACTCAAAAGAACAAAAAATTCAGCGTCATGCTGATTCATATAAAAGTGATGATCTTTTTTAGGGGTGAAAATATGTTATATCATTGTGGGGGTATAAAATATCATAGTTGTGATTCTTGCAAATGTTTGTAAACAAAAATGGTGCAATTGTTTCACTTCTAGTGGATGCTTCCGCCATTTACATTACTTGTTAATAATTTCCAGCGTATTGTCCCGCCATTTCTTATTTATTAACATTTCTTATGGAGGTGACATCTAACATATAGACTTATTTTCCAGTGAATAGTTGGGAGGGATTACACATCTAGTTAGAGAGAGAGAGAGAGAGAGAGAGAGATGCATATGTAGTTAGAGCCTTTCCTTGTTCTTTGAAAGATCTGTCTCGTGTCTAGTACTATATGGTTCCACTTTGCAACAACTTCATATCAATCTCTTAAAGCTCAGTTAAGAACCTTCCATAAAATGAACAAGCAGCAATGAGAATTGGCATTTCATCCATTGAGAAGCAGGACAGAATTGTAATTTCATTCATTGAATTACACAAACGCAGGAGTTCCTTACACCTTGCAGCTCCCCATCCTCTGACACACTATAAAATCAATGAAAAAAAAGTTAGAAAGTGGTTCTGCAAATCTAAAATTACATAGGTTAATGAAAGGCTGTAGAGCATGTTGCATTTTAAACATTCTGCGGCAATGGCATCAAAACAACTGCCAAGTAAATGTGAAAAATAAAGCTACACATTGCTTTTCAACTTCTCAAGAAACCACTGATATAAGATAACTCCCCTTCAATTTCGTGCCAACAAATCTTCTTTAGTCATGAGACTCGTGACAAGTTCATTGTTCCTCTCGACCTATTTCATTGAACGTCTTGAAATAGAAATTTAGATCCTCTCGTCGAGTATAATTTTTCTCAGCAGTAGATCACCCGCTATGAATTTGAGTGGGATTCACTATATATAATTGTGTTCTCTACCTACTTGCAGTGGGTGATATGCGATTGAGAAAAATTGAGAGTGTACAAGAGTGGGGATTGGGATACCTGAAAAGGGCTATGCTTGTACTTTGTTTTTTGATCAAATTCAACAGTATAGAGGCCTAATTTGTGCAACAGTGAAAACACATAATGCAGGACAAGTTGAGGTGGGCAATAACTGTACCTTGTCTCAAACACTTGAACATGAGCAATATCTTTGCCATGAGCATCAGGCCAACTGACTTTCCTTGTTTCTGTCCTCTGTTGATTTGTCTCCACTGCTGTGGCTTTCTTGAGATTACTCTTGAGAGGGGTGGGTTCAATGTGAGGCCCATTACACCCATTGCTCTTACCTCCTTGACCATGTAATAATTCATTATTACAAACTTCTTCCATGACCCCATCTTTGTTTGTTGCAAGTGACCTCCTCTTGTTGCTGTTGCTACTTTTGCTGCTTTCTTCACTTTTGCTATCAGAATTCCTTGATGCTACATAGCAAGAGCAGACTAAAGAGGTGCACCTGTTATGCGCCGACGCCGCCAGGAGTGCAAACTACAAGCTTGTACAACTCTCTCTTTCTCTCTCTCTCTCTCTCTCTCCTGCCTCTGTATTCATACCATGCCCAGATCATGGACTATGCAGATATTAGACTGGCATGACATTTTGCCTACTCTCAAGAGCCTTAGTACTCTACTTGTCCATCTATGTTGGTTTGGGGTACGGTCAGTAACCCCTCCCAATTTGAAGTTTTTCCCTTGAAAGTTTAAACCTTGTTGGCCAGGACAACAGTCACACCTATAAATTTACTTACGACTATGGCATGATGGTACACTCTTCCTCAGACGTACTCTCGCAACGACGATGGAGATTTGTCTCTTCCTGTTCTTGACAGGCTAGTGACTCCACCGCTATCCACCTAGAGTCGACTAATGATCCGGGTTACCCGAGCCGCGTTGACGTTTGTTTCGTCCTTGCCTAAGAGGTCAAACTGGTGAAATAGTAAAGACACAGAGCTAATCAGTTTGAGGATTGTCCCAAATGATTGTAGTTTGCTTAGCATATAAGATTGAGTGCTAGAAATTTGGCCGAGAGGTGGGGTTTATGGTGGGTTTCTTAGGTTGGGAAAAGATGGGAGGAGGCAGAAACAGGTACAATCATACTCTGCCTCCCTCCCACTAAGACTTGTTTTCTTTTGCTTTTGCTTTACCACTCATTAGTGAGGTGAAATGGGTGATACAGAATGGCGCAAGTGCTCTTTAACTTTTTCATTGACAGTTTATAAAATTATACTTTTTGTTTTTGGGAAGTAAAAAATGATTAGTTGCATTTAGAAGGGTCAAAATATGACACAACTCGTTAACACGACATAAAATTAGATGATTTAGATCTTTATTAAGCTATCTATTTAGTAAATGAGTAGACCTGATACGACATGATTAATAAATAAACCGGGTATGAGTGAAGTCAATCAAAAAACTACGCAATACGATTCATTTATATATCAATTATTCGCAGTTTATATACGACATGAATTCGATATAACACGATTCATTAAACACGAATTAATAAATGAATCGAATATGAGTAGAACGTTTTTTGACATAAACTCGGTAAGACTCGATATAAACTCACCTCACCCAACACGATTGATAGACCTAATTACGTTACACTTGGGGTGAGAGTTTTCAAATAATACGGTAAGATCATACGAATCCAATATAAAATTAACAAGTTAGAGTTCATTAGTTTTCAAAAACCATAAAATGAGAATTCGAGAATTTTTTATGTGATTTTACTATCATAAAAAATCTCCTGGGATTTATGAGTCCATCGGTGAAGGGTTTGAGTTGAGATAAAAACCCAGTCTTAGTCTCTATGCTTCTAGTTCGTGAATTATCGAGTTAGTATTAGGACTAGGACGACCAATACAAGGAATTCATCAAAGTAGAAAAAACTAAGATTTGTTCGTAGTTGACAAAAATACAAGAATGAAATCTCTAAATAATACGACACGAATTGAATCATTAATTTCTAATTGAAGTCATTGTTGGTTACAACTTACAACATATGCTAAGCATCCTTTGCTTTCTTGTGCGTGTGTGTGTGTGAGAGAGAGAGAGAGTAAAGAAATTCTACAGGCTTATGGAGAGAAATTTGAAGGGGATGCCATTTTATATATAGAAAGAAAGGAAAAGCAGAATTAAAAAAAAAAAAAGCACCACGCGTGTGTTATTCATTTAAAAGTTGATTGGAATTCATAATGAATTGAAATTATTATGTCTCTCATTCGTAATTTTCATCAACTCACTTTTTAACAAAAAAAATACATATATAACTTATTTAGAACGAATGAATGAATGATGAGGCAGTCTTATCCTTGCAAAATCTCTTCAAAGGATTGGAAAACTTTGTTGGGCGAATTTCACTTTCCATCTTCAAAAATTAAAACATCTTTACTTTTACACTTTATACTGTCAAATAAAAAAAATTATTATATTATACTTTTAGAACGTGTTTGAGTAAGCTATAAATAAAAGATGAGATTAGATAATTAGTTTTCGTCTAATCTATAAAATAAGAATAATACAACAAGAATTTAAAAATTAGACTTGATAATTATAACTATTGATTCCATTGAGAGTCTCAGTATTTATTAGAACTCACTACCTATTCAATAGTTGTTATTATCAATTTTAATTTTTAAATCTAATTTTTAAGTCAATGTAATATTATTCATAAAATGACATTAATAAGATTATTATTTAGTCTTATATCCACTTCACCCCCTTATCCTTTTGAACTAAAATAATACCATCACAAATTCAGTCTAAATTTACAAAAAATGTAATTCACGCGCCAAAATAGAATGTTGGGGTACAAATTTTTTTGTTCAAAGTCAACTTTCCATTAAAAAAGCAAATATGCCCTCTCTCTCTCTCTCTCTCTCTCTCTCTCTCCGAACTCTCCGAACTACCTCCCCACCATTATCACTCAAAGGTAATCTGGACTGAAAATCCACCATCATCTTCATCAACCACCAACTGAAAATTGGTTCACTCCTTCAATACTCATCACCACCTCCTCCTCCTTCAACCCCTCCCCTGACTCTCACTCTTACACACACACTCTCTCTCTCTGTATATATATGTGTGTGTGTGCGCGCACTCCGATGATGATGGTAGTGGTTACTGATGATGATGGGTTTTTTGGTCTAAGATAAAGGGTGAGAATGATATGGTATTGCAGAGATAGTTTGTTAGCAAAATAACTACAACAGATTAGAAGCGTATTCACTCTATTTAAGGAAATTATACACCCACTATGTTGCTGCTGGGTTTTTGGAAAATATCTCTAAGATTAACAAAGTCAAATAAAATTTTAGATAACAAACTCTAAAATTTTCTTAAGATCAGAATAGAGAAACGTTTTGTATATATTTATTGAAAGGTTTGTATAGGTATTTATAATATCTTAAAGATGTAAAGAAGAGACACAACTCTTGGGCCAAGAGACATGTAACAGTTAATTAACTGTTTAATTAATACAAAATTATTAATAAAAATTATTAATTGTTTATAAGCTTCAAGCCCAAGATGCCCCAAGTGCACATCTTTTGACTTTAAATATTATTTTATTTAAAATCTAATCTAGGCACATTGATTTAAAATATTTGGAGCTTCCCTCCAAATCTTTCCACCATCTAAACTTATAAAATTTGGTATGTTTCTTTTTTTAAACTCTTACACTCCCTTTCAATTTTCTAATATGAGATATCTTACACTACTATCATCGTATAAACTATTAAGATATGAACAATAATCTAAGTTGAAATCAAGGAAAACTTGTATTCTAGAATCAAACCAATATCTCACAGTACATGCAGAATCACAAAATCATACATACTTAAATAGTAGGTTGTCCTTGAGACATCCTCTGCTCGTGAATTTCAAACACTAACTGATTTCGAAACAATAACCATTCAACAGATGTCTTCTCAGTGCCTATGACATCATTGTCAGCATCACCCTCAACGTGAATGACCTTGGGCAACTCTTTCTCTATTGGGTTTACACTCATTTCATTTCTAATCAAATTATGCAACAAACAACACTTAATAATAATTTGATTATGTGTGCAAATCGGATAGTAGCACGATGCCCTAAGTGTCGCCCATCTATTTTTCAACAAGGCAAAACATCTCTCAATGTATGTCCTTGCAGTTGAATGTCAGAGGTTAAACAATTCTTCGGGATTACAGGGAGTTGTCGCACCCGCCTCAAACTCTTGTATATGGTATCTTTGACCCCTGAATGGTGCTAAAAATCCCTCTCCATTAGTGTACCCAACATCAGCTAGGTAATAGGTCCATGTGTTGTATAAAATATGTTGATTAATCAAACACGTTGTGTATAAAATTATAATTTTTTTTTCATTGTTACATTGTATGACTCTACTTACCACATGTCACCTTCAAGCTGTTAGGTCTAGTCACGGCATCACATAGTATTCTAGAATCGGCAACGAACCCCTTCCAACCGAGAAGCATGTAAATTATTTTCATGTCTGGGCCACAAACATCCAACACATTTGTTGTTATTCCTTCTTTACATGTTCTATACCTAGCTGGATTGACAAGAGGTACTCGAGCTAGAACATAAGTGTCATCTAAGGCACCCGCACAATTCTACAACACCAAAAAAAATTGAATTAGGATTGTACCACCTTAGAAACGAAATGAAAATGGGAAATTCGACAAGAGGTAAATATACTGACACAATATTTACCTTGAACCACTTCCATTTTTTGGGTCAGTATAGCTCTCCAGAATTGGCTCAAGTGCCTTTAGCAACACCCGTATCAACCTCAACACCGTAATCAAGACATTATTGAAATGTCGACTAACTATTTCACCCAATAGAAGAAAGTTGAACTTAACCGGCCTAGTTTTGTCATCGTGACCTAAAATACTTAAGAACATAACAACCATCTCATCCACACTAACATTCCTAGTTGGATTTAAGCCTCCTACATCATGCACCAAATTGCATAATATCTCAAACACGTGTCTATCCATCCTTAGTTGGTTTATATAATTTGTATCATTCTCACCAATTAGATGATGTAAGTGTTCACGTTATAGGCGAATCCTATGCGACGGTCATGACACAATATGCATATGCACATTGTTTTTCATGTCCCATATTGCAACCATTATACAAATCAAAAGGTGAAACACAATTACTATCTCCTGAATAGTCTTATTCATAATAGTAAGCAATATACAGACATCATCACTAGGGTTTTTCATGTTCACTGCATAGGTCATAAATTTGAGCAATATGTTAATGTTAAGTTTACCATAATTGATAACTCACAATTTACAAAAATACATAAATTCTAGATATTCATGTTTTAGTTTGCTTTACATGTAATTAGGACTTCATTGACAATGACAAATAAATGTGATAACTTGGTAACATGATTAAATACATAATATAAATGAATTCCTTGTATTACCTCACTTGCAAAGACAGTTCCGATACGTTATACAACAAAAAAATAACACACATTTTAGGCCACACTGATATGCTTTTTACAATTGATAAAAAAATCCCATGTATTTGGAACATAATAACATCTGCAAATTTTTTTAATTAATTTCATAAATTATTTCAACACAGTATGGTAAAATTCTTTAATTGTACAATATTCCACATGCATGAAATTGGTTCAACTATAACATATTCATGCATTTATTGTTATTTTAATTAGGAAAACAGAAAAACATAACACAAATCGATACAAATCATGCCTCAGTCGTTAGTTGTTTCTTTCTAGAAAAACCTAAGTTGTTTGTTTCAAAAAAAAAAAAACTTAGTTGTTTGTTTCAATAAAAAGCCAACATCAGTGAAATAAAAACCCAACATAAGCAAATGCAATTTAATTTCCATGTATTGAAATTTAGGGCCTTTTAATTTTATTGGTTGAATTAATAGGCCAATTCAGGTCAAATTGAAATATTTTGTTTTAATTTAAATCTAAATTTTTTGTAGGATATAT